ATATATCTGAGCTCCAATTGGGATCCAAGATTGTCTGAAGCTAGTAGGTCATAGTTATGATCATGAGGACATGTCCACTAATAAGATACATAATTGTCCTATATATGTTGTACACAACATGCGGACATGCAATGACTTATAGAAAATACACACGATATGCACATGTATATTATGACACGGCTTCAACAGAAGTGTCCATGCACCAATAACTCAATATTTCTGAGAAATACATGAATGACCATGAGCAAGGCAACGTGATGGTTAACTAGTATTTTTTGTTCCATTACAAAATTGGAAAGATGTAATAGAAACTGTGCTCCACATAGCTAGAAGTTTGATGATCATTCCTATTATTTGACAGTACCCTGTAATGCACACATGTAGAGAATAACTTCAATCAAATTGGAGGTTTACAAGTAGCTGACTGAGATTTTGAACCATACATGCTTCCTACACTTGAACCCGCTCTGAAATGTTAGATCAACTTCACTAATATGATCGCTCCGCGTATCGATTAGAAAGTACAGTCAAACTTTTCATCTATTTAATGGTTATGCAAGCTCTGGTATCCTATTTGTTGCCCCCATGAAATGGTAGACGAAGGCAAGTACTGCAAGAAAAATGGTAACTACAAATAATATCAATAAATAATGACAGTAACAAACCTCGTGCATATGACATTAAAAAACCTTGGCATAATCATAAGCATTCTTACTGTGCAGCTTAATATCATACAGATGCAGGTTATCTAATTCAACATTAATTATTACTTGAAATTATTTAATTATCTTAGCTCTTATTAGCCTGTTCTTTTATTGGAAATTTACTGTTTGCACTCTTCTTCTCATTTCAGAGGTGGTAATATTGAGACAATGCTAATGCACTCTGTGAATAGCTTATGTATATATCTGAGCTCCAATTGGGATCCAATATTGTTTGAAGCTAGTAGGTCATAGTTATGATCATGAGGACATGTCCACTAATAAGATACATAATTGTCCTATATATGTTGTACACAACATGCGGACATGCAATGACATGTCCACTAATAAGATACATAATTGTCCTATATATGTTGTACACAACATGCGGACATGCAATGACTTCTAGAAAATACACACGATATGCACATGTATATTATGACACGGCTTCAACAGAAGTGTCCATGCACCAATAACTCAATATTTCTGAGAAATACATGAATGACCATGAGCAAGGCAACGTGATGGTTAACTAGTATTTTTTGTTCCATTACAAAATTGGAAAGATGTAATAGAAACTGTGCTCCACATAGCTAGAAGTTTGATGATCATTCCTATTATTTGACAGTACCCTGTAATGCACGCATGTAGAGAATAACTTCAATCAAATTGGAGGTTTACAAGTAGCTGACTGAGATTTTGAACCATACATGCTTCCTACACTTGAACCCTCTCTGAAATGTTAGATCAACTTCACTAATATGATCGCTCCACGTATCGATTAGAAAGTGCAGTCAAACTTTCCATCTATTTAATGGTTATGCAAGCTTTGGTATCCTATTTGTTGCCCCCATGAAATGGTAGACGAAGGCAAGTACTGCAAGAAAAATGGTAACTACAAATAATATCAATAAATAATGACAGTAACAAACCTCGTGCATATGACATTAAAAAACCTTGGCATAATCATAAGCATTCTTACTGTGCAGCTTAATATCATACAGATGCAGGTTATCTAATTCAACATTAATTATTACTTGAAATTATTTAATTATCTTAGCTCTTATTAGCCTGTTCTTTTGTTGGGAATTTACTGTTTGCACTCTTCTTTTCATTTCAGACTGTCCCAAAAAATTGAAATGACATACATTCCAAATATAATCCAATTTTTTTAACTGAACTTCTAATATTACTTAATATCTTAGCTCTTATTAGCCTGTTCTTTTTTATACTGAACTTCTAATATCTTAGCTCTTAAATTCATTGTTTTGTCTTTTAGGAAGCTCTGGAAAACACATATGTTGAGGTTGTTGCACAGAGCCAGGAGCCCCTGACTAGAGAGCAGAATTATAATGTGAGCCATTTAGTTTGTGGACTTCCCAAAAAGGGGAAGACCAGGTGGATGAGAGTTGGAGCTCAGAGGGTGTGTACCCCATTCCAGCCTCCGCCGATTTCAATGCCATTGACGATGCCCTCGGGGCCCTCTTACATGCCGCAGGAGGATTGCACTCAGCAGGCGATGCAGCTTGTTTCCTCTATGATGAATCTATTAGATGGTCAGATTCCCGAGGAGATGTGGGAGGATATTTAAGAGGAGCTTATGCAAGTGATCCACCCTACTGCTACTTTTGCGATGGTTTCCCGGCAAATAATGAAATCTTGTAGAAGGCGGGTTCCTACTCGGGTGCAAAGCTAGATTATGAACTTTTTGGCCTCTCAAAAGGTATTTACTGGTAGTGAAGAGAGTAGCAGACAAGTATACATATTATATATGTAAAACATGATTACACACAATATATTTGATTCTAAATTTAAATTATTTTGTTGTTAGAGTGGAGATGATGCTATTGGGAGCACGAGTCGTAGGGGTGGAGCCGCCAGTGGCAACGCGGACGATAACATGGATAGGACGGATGATCTATCTTAGTGAGTTATATCCTAAACTCGTGTTTGTATATTAGACATCTTTATATTAGAGATATATGCTTGTATAGTTTGTTGTGGAAATTTTTGTAGATTTAGAACGTATTGTGAAAATTGAATGGATGCGAAATGTTTGTGAAATTTGTTTTGTACGTATTTCGAATGTTTGTGAAAATTATTCGGTTGCGAGATATTTGTAAAATTTGGATTGTACATATTTTGAATATTTGTGAAACTTGAATGGATGTGAGATGTTTGTGAAATTTGGAATGTTTGTGAATATTTATGAAACTTGAATGTTTGTGAAATTTGTTTGCAGATTTGTATGTACAGGGAATTGATTGTGTAATCAGCAATATTTTTTTTAGCTGATGATAAGCATCGCTGACGGGTAAACCGTCAGCGACGTTCAAAGCTGACGGTTTTTCCGTCAGTGATGGTAATAACATCGCTGACGGCACGCCGTCGGTGATGTTAATCGCTGATGGCAAAAACCGTCAGCCGTAGTAAATTATCGCGACGGCTAGCGCTCAGCGATACATCGCCGACGGCATGCCGTCAGTGATGTTAAGTTCGTTGCTGACGATTTGTCGTCAACAATAAAGATCGCTGACGGCTAACCCGTCAGCGATGTGTAAAATATCACTGACGGGATTGCCGTCAGCGATGTCTCATTATCGCCGACCACTTCCACCGTCAACGTATTATCGTCAGTAAAATACATTACTGACGGCTTCCCGTCAGTAATAATTCTTTTCTGACGGGACTATTGCTGACGGCTTATCCTTGATGGCTTACGGTCAAGGATATATATCGCCGATGGGAAATAAGGCATTCTTGACGGGATTCCCTGTCAAGGATACCTGGTTTTCCACTAGTGTTTATAGGGGATTAAGGGGTATAACCGCCCCCTTAATTCACTCCTAAGTGGGGCTGAATGGGGTGTAACCGCCTCCTTAATCCGATCCTAAGTAGGGTTGAATGGGGTGTAACCGCCTCTTTAATCCGCTCATAAGTGGGGGCAGAAATCCCTCAGATCATGGGGAGAAAACGGTTTCTGGAACCGTTCAACTCGTGTTTGAACGAGTCAAACGTGGGTCTTGCATTCTGGAATGAAATCAGCATTTGAACGCAGTGTTTGCAAGTTGCGTTGGGCAGCAGATGGAACCTGCGTTGGCAGCTGTTAGAACCTGTGTTGGCAGCGGTTGGAAGCTGCGTTTTGCAGCATTTAGGACCTGCGTTTGGCAGCGAATGGAAGCTGCGTTTTGCAGCATTTAGGAGCTGCGTTTGGAAGAGAATGGAAGCTGCGTTTTGCAGCATTTAGGAGTTGCGTTTGACAGCGAATGGAAGCTGCGTTTTGCAGCATTTAGAGGCTGTGTTTGCATAGCTTTGACTCTGGAATTAGGCCACTTGCGCTTCACCTTTGGGATGCAGGGATGAGTCCTGCGTCTTGGATTGAAGAGATCGTTGGCTTGTAATATCTTCTGTCAGAGCGTTACGACGATCGTTGTTTAGTAATCTTCGCTTTAGCTCTTTAAAATGTGAGAGTTATCAGATTGCAACTCTCATTATTGGTTGTGAAGACCATTGATCAGAGCTTTCATTGGTTGTTGTGAATGTCGTTGATTTGTAACATTCATCGATCTACGTGAAAGTCTTCAAATTGTAGCCTTCTGGAAGTCGTCAAATTGTAACCTCCATTGTTGATGTTTGATAGGGATAAGCTATCTGTTGTGATTTTTAGACAGCTTACAATTAGTAAGGCGGGGAATTTTTTAAATAAAAATTTAATGTTATGTGTGCATGTGCCGATATGCTAGTTTAGTATTAGTCCCTATACCATTCCTTTCTCACGCTACTTGAATATTACTCAAAATAAACGCTTACAATTGATATTGATGTCATTAATATTTAGATAAACTATAGTAGAGTGGTCAGACTCCTTGGATCCGCACATGTATAGAGCATTGTTTTCTTTTATTTTTTGCTAGTTATGCGGTTTGGTTGGGGGAAAGAACAAACAAGTTGAGGTGGCGGGAACAAATTAGCACCTAATATGTGCAGCCCAACATATACGTACGTTATCCGTTTATATATATAAAGCAACGGGACTTATTTTCGTTTCCAAGCATGAATATGTATAATAAGCAGAACTCAAGAAACGGCAAGATTCTCTCCTTCATCCTCCACCAACCTCAATAAGCGGCACGATTCTCTCCTTCATCCCCCCTCTGCTCACACTCTGCCAATTTTTTTTGCTGACGCTTCAAGACTTTCATTTTATATATTTTTCCAAGCGCGCGAATGTACGTAATATAAAAGGTAAACCCCAACCAAGCACCCAACCCACAACACGAACAGTGAAACGCACATTCACTTGCTTCCGCAACAATTTGAAGGCATTCAATGGAGTGTGAAAGAGGCCAGACGAAATGGCAATTCCGGCAGAAGAGCTCGTTTACCGCGGGAAACCTCGCTGTTCGTGCAGTGGTCAACAAGGTGATGGAGAATGTCGACAACAGCAATGGAAAGCCGATCATTGCTTTAGGCAATGGAGATCCGTCAAAGTTTTCATGCTTCAGGATATCGGAGAGGGCGGAGGATGCTATTGTTTCCGCTGTTCGATCAGCTAAGTACAATGGGTATGCTTTCAGTGCGGGCATGCCTTGTGCAAGAAGGTCGGTATCTAATCGTACCCTTTCAATTAGAGTAGTGATGACTACACTACTATTCCTATTATTATTTTTATACTGCAATAGAGAAAATTATGGGGTTCTTTCTCTTTAGTTTTTTATTAAAACTGATGACTCGTCAAGGGGGCCCGCACTTCTCTTTCTTGTAGTTTCTCTTCAAGGGGAAATATCCAAATCTTAACTTGTAAATTTCTCTTCTTCTAATAGTTTGGTTTAGTTCAAAATATTAGAGCTGTAATCAGGAGTGAGGTTGAATTACAAAAAGTTTTGTTTTGACACTTTGGCGTATGAAAGTTAAAATGTGTAGACTTCGGATATTGGGAAAAAAGACTTTGAGGTGTACACCTTTGGGATATAAAAGTATCGGAAAAAGAAAAAAATACTAAGAGCATCAAGGTTACAAATATTATAAACTTTTGGGTACCCAAGTCCGTCGCATCAGCGCTCCGTCGAGCGAGGGCGGCTAATCGAAAAGGATGGCGGGAAACCGGTGATCTCTCTGGGCCACGGCCACCCCTCAAAGTTCGATTGCTTTCGTACCTCAAGCAATTGAACTTGGGTTGTTTCGCTTAGTACTCGAGAGGTATTAACAAATAGTTTGTTTTAGTTTCTGCATTGATTGATTTCGAGCGGAACAGTGTCAAAATCCCCTTTTTTTTTAAAAAAAAATTATGAAAGGAGCCTCAATAAGTTGAAAGAACGTTAACTTTAGATTCAGTTTAATATTTAGGGAAATTTTCTAAACTTTGTGCAAAATTGTGTCCTTGCTCTCCCCTTTCACCCTCGGTCCCCTCTTTTCCCATCCCATCAATATTTGCAATTGCTGTCTTCGATTGAGACTGTTCTTGTTGTCGCCAATGTTGCTGTTCTTCTGCATCATCTCATGATCCTGTATCTACTTCATCACCTAAAATTGATGCAAAAAACGAAATCGCGTTGCTTTCTTGTTCTTGTAACAAATACATTCTTATTATCATTTTTTAAAATAAAAGAAAGAGAGCAGAATTTGTGTATATTCTCATTGATTATGAAGAAGAGGATAATACCCCATATTTATACAGCTTATTAAGATTTATACCTTAATAGAGATCAAAATCCGTTCTTAATTTTCCTCGGCATGCATCACACTGCAGTGCAATTGCTGAGTACCTCAACAAGGATCTTCCGTACAAGCTATCTCCTGATGATGTGTATGCTACTATTGGTTGCTCCCAAGCAATTGAGATCCTTCTATCAGTTCTTGCCCGTCCTGGTGCAAATATCCTCTTGCCGAGGCCCGGCTACCCATATTATGAAGCACGGGCTGCTTTAAGCAAACTAGAGGTCCGACACTTCAACCTCGTTCCAGAAAGAGGCTGGGAGGTTGATCTTGATAATGTATACGCTCTTGCAGATGAAAATACTGTTGCAATGGTCATAATCAACCCCGGAAACCCTTGTGGAAATGTGTTAAGTTATCCGCATTTGAAAAAGGTGCGTTGAAATTGATTTTTTTTTTAAAAGGGTTAAGAGTTTAGAGTTTTCTATTATAAATTTGATTCCTTTTGTAATCTTTAGATTGCCGAGACTGCGAAGAAGCTTGGCATAATGGTAATAGCAGACGAAGTGTACGATCACTTGGCATTTGGGAGCAATCCGTTTGTGCCAATGGGAGTATTTGGGGCGATTGCCCCTGTCATTACCCTAGGGTCTATATCAAAGAGATTGGTTGTTCCTGGTTGGCGACTTGGTTGGATGGTGAGAAATGACCCCAACGGTATTCTTAAGGAAACTAAGGTGATTAACACTCTTCATGTTTGTACCTTATGTATTTGGTTCTTTCAAACTACTATAGTTTTAACAATGTTTATCTAGTTCTACAAATTACTGTCGCAGTTTCTTGTAGAGGTTTTATACATTTTATACTGTCATGTATACATACACTCATTTGCATTCTCAATGAATGATTTGGAACTTGGAAGATATGTTTTACCGTAAGCCTGAAAGAATTCATTTAATTACTTTATGAGGATAAGATAAAACATTTTTATAAGATGAGATTAGTGATACATCACCTCATTAACCGACAGTTTTTACTAATTAATATTCTATAATAAAAGGTCCTAATTATACTAAAAGAGGTAGTTTGAGAGAACAGTCCGATCACAAATTCTTAGGACAACTGTATTTATATGAGCGGAATAATGTATCATAGGAGAAGGATGCAGGTATAGAGTAATCAAATAATAGCATTAAAGAACCTCACAACATAAACAAGGAAAAAACATGAACACAAATTTAACAATAAAAACATTTTGAAAAGATGAAAGACCACTCTGAAAAAATCAAAGAACAATTGAAAGAAAATGAATAAAAGGAATAATCACACCTGATTGCAATATAATTCTTCTCCATAGGTTTGTTATACAAACTAAAAAAAGTAGTTGATCAAGCTGGAGACAAAGTACTTCGATGTACTGCTTGCTGTCAGTGGTTATTATGTAAAAGTGGAAACGATTCTGTTGACTCTGATAATGGTGAAGTTTTTCCTTTTGGGCTAGGACAAAATCAAGTCTCCGAGAGCATCGCCCTAATCATTTGGGTGTATCTCCTGCATAACATTAAAAGAGGTTGGAATGTATAAAATAAACCAAATCAGGCACATTGAAGAATTACAAAAGAGAGTGAAGAGATGAAACCATTGTTCTAGTTTTCTTTGTACAAATGCTTTTTCAGGCTTCTGGCCATATATTAATTTCTACCTCTAGAAGCATTGCTTAATTGCTCACTGACAGCACATTAATCTATGCAAGGTGAAATATGATGCTTGACCTGAGATCACATACTGTATTATGTTTGCATACCTTCAAATATTGTTTTGATTATAATTCTCAACAAATTACGTCTCAATTCTGAATTTTGCAATCCGATTGAGGATGGTGATGATTTGCCTTTTTCTTTCCTTCAGATTGCCGAGAGCATTGAAAACTTCCTCAACATCACAGTATCTCCTACAACATTTATCCAGGTTAGTATTCCATGAGTTCAGAAAATAAGACCTGCATGTCTGTACAGTATCTCCTACAACATTTATCCAGGTTAGTATTCCATGAGTTCAGAAAATAAGACCTGCATGTCTGTATGCTGAAATGCATTACTTCACAGTAGGTTAGTATTCCATGAGTTCAGAAAATAAGACCTGCATGTCTGTATGCTGAAATGCATTACTTCACAGTACAGTTGTAACTTGACACTTGCTCATGTTCCTTAACTAACGAGATACTGCCAATGCACATGTAGGTGTTCTTATGAGCCCATGGCATCTCTAGTTGTAGTTTCTGTGAGGATAACCATTTTTCTACCATGTTTAAAATGAAGCTTTTCATGGCATTTAGTAGTTTCATGCTAGGCACAAACACACATATGCATGTGCATAGGAACCTGAATAAAAATAGAGGAAAGATGCTTCCAGAATAGGAGAGAAATGCTTCCGACGCCTATATATTTTCAAACATTTGACCTCACCCACCCAAGTTGACTACTCAAAAGTAAAGTCATTTTTCTTAAAGCTTTTTGTCCATCCCCTTCCCCCCCCCCCCACACACACACACACAAAAGAGAAAAAGAAAAAAAACACACGACCTACAACCAACACACAGAATACTGGAAGAATTTACTATAAGCAGGCATGCAGTGAGTGGATCCACAGGGTGTTTCCATATGTATTTTTAACGCTCCCCAAATCATTACAATTGCTTCTTTTTTGTCCTCTGGATTGTTTCCATCCTTTAATATTAACTAATAAAATCTATTGGGATATTCTGTTGAAATAATTTAGAGTTTTTTAAATGTTTAATCTAACCATTAGTAAATAATTTAATAGAGGTTCTACCTCATTCTCTTTTTTTTCTCCCTATTAAA